CTCGCACAGGTCGCGGAACTTGCCCAGCGCCCGAGCCCCGTCCGGCAGGCCGAGAGCCTGGTAGACCAGCGTGGCCACGGCATAGACGCCGGCGCCGCCGAGCAGGAAGGCAGGGCGGGTGTCGGCGTCGCCGTCGGCCCAGTCCTCCTCGTGGCGCACGCAGGCGTCGACCAGCCGCTTGGCCGCCCGCAGGTAGGAGTCCCGCGCCGGGGCGAAGAGCGGGCAGCGGGCGACGTGGTACAGCATGTAGGCCACGCCGGCCACGCCGCTGTACAGCCCGCCCTGGCAGCCGCCCGGGCCGCTCGCCGCCTCGCCGCCGCTCAGCGGAGGCACCTCCTGGAGGATGCGGTCGACCGTGGCCGTCACCAAGGACATCGCCGTCTCCTTGCACTGCCCGCCCAGCAGGCTGCCCTTGTAGTCGTCGAAGCGGTTGGGGAAGCAGCGCTTGCTGTCCATGGCTGACGCAGCCCGGGGGCGGCAGGGGGGACTCTGGCTCGTCTCGGCGGCGGAGCGAGGGCTGGCGGGAGAGGGGGGAGCCCCCCGCCGGCACCAGCCTACTGAAGCCGAGAAACGAGACCCAGCGGGGACGGCGCGGTCAGGCGGCTCTTCCCCCAGCCCCGGGCGGGACGGCGGCGTCTCGCGCTTCACCCAAGCATCGCGCGCGCTCTCTCGCTCGCTGCGTCTGCCTGCTCCCCTTCGCCAGGCTCGGTTGAAATATCAGCAGGAGACGACCGCCCGCCTCCCTCCCCCCTCCCCCCTCCCTGTGCTCCGGGAAGACGAGGCAGCCACTCTCCACCTCGCCTCTTGACGACAGCAGCAGGAGCAGCGATGTGAAGCCGGCACGTGTGGTCTGCTTTCCTGGACCTCCCATCCCTCCACCTCCCAACTCCCCATTTCTACTCTCGAAAATCTCTCTGTGTCAAGGGGGGCAGCAATGTCGATAGAGCTTATTTTAAGGGGGAGAAAGGTAAAAGTCGGATCTACATGGATCCTCATGATTTTTAAATTGAAACGAAATAAAACTACCATCATGTCGTAGGCCATGTGTTAATCTACAGGGGGCACCACAAAAATCAGGCATCCACAGATTCGTGCTACCACAACAGCGCAAACACATGATTCCAAAGCACCGATCCTCATGAATTCATATGATTTTTATGCTGAAACAAAATAAAACCACCATCTTACTGCAGACCATGTCTTAGACTATAGGCAGCACTCCAAAAATCAGCCATAACTTTTTAAAGAGCCCCTGTCGGCCATAACTTTTTAAAGAGTCCTCAACAAGACCTGGGGGAGCCAGAATGACCTTTTGCATGTTGCTGCTCGGCCATCACACGAGAGAGGTGAAATTTGCCCTTAGGACTCCAAGGCCACCACCCCGGGGCTCAGAGAGGCAGGGGAATGTTTCTGGCCCTCCACTGTTGCTGCTGCTGCCACCGCCGGCGGCCATAACTGTTTAAAGAGCCCCTAACAAGAACTGGGGGAGCCAGAATGACCTCTCGTGTGTTGCCGCTCGGCCGTCACGAGAGGTGGAATTTGCCCGAGGCCACCACCCCGGGGCTCAGAGAGGCAGGGCCTAACAAGACCCCTGCCCCTGGCCGCTGCCGCTACCACTGCTGCCGCCGGTGGCAACCATAACTTTTTAAAGAGCCCCTAACAAGACCTGAGGAGCCAGAATGACCTCTCACCTGTTGCCGCTTGGCCATCACATGCGAGAGGTGGAATTTGCCCCTAGGACTCCGAGGCCACCACCCCGGGGCTCAGAGAGGTGGGGGAACGTTTCACACCACTCCCCCCGTTGCCGCTGCCGTTACCACTTCAGAACTATGTTGTGGCTTTATGGTGTTGCCACGAAGCCGTGGATCCATGACTTTTGTGGTGCAACCTGTGCCCATGGAGATGAGATGGGATTTGTTCGTGTGCTCATGGTGACCCAACGCAAAAGCTTTGAGGATCCATGGGGATCCGTGTTTCAGAACGATGTTTGTGCAGCATGTTGCCACGAAGCCGTGGATCCATGAATTCTGTGAAGCAAGTAGTGGCCATGGCCATGGTATGGGCTTTAATAGTATGTTTGGGGTGTCCCAACACAAAATCCCAAAGCATTCATGAGGATCCACGATCCAGAACCATGTTTTGGCTTCATGGTGTCACCTCGGAGCCGTGGACATGTGATTGCTGTGTTGCATTCTGTGGCCATGGACAAGGTATGTGATTTAATGGTGATGTTGTGGTGACCCAACACAAAAACCTTAAGGATCCATGAGGATTCATGCTTTGGAATCATGGTTTTGCAGCATGGAATTGCCATGAAGTCATGGCAACATGAATTTTGTGGTGCAGGCTGTGGCCATGGACATGATATGGGATTTAATGGTATGTTTGGGATGTCCCAACACAAAACACCCAATGATCTATAAGGATCCATGCTTTAGTTTAGAATCATGTTTTTGCAGAATGGATTCTCCATGAAACTGTGGATCTGTGATTTTTGTGGTGCAAGGTGTGGCCGTGGATGTGCTGTGTGATTTGATGGTGTGTTTTGGGTGACCCAATTGAAAAATCCTGAGGATCCACGAGGATCCGTGCTTTGGAACCATGTTTTTGTGGAATGGCTACAGAGCTGTGGACATATGATTTATGTGGTGCATTCTGTGGCCATGGACAAGGCATATTATTGGATGGTGATGTTGGGGTGACACAATGCAGAAATCATAAGGATCCATGAGGATCCGTGCTTCAGAACCATGTTTTTGCAGCATGGTGTTGCCACAGAGCCGTTGCACTGTGATTTCTGTGGTGCAGGCTGTGGCCATGGACATGATATGCGATTTAATGGTATGTTTGGGGTGTCCCAACACAAAAAACCCAAACATCCACGAGGACCCGTGCTTCAGAATCATGTTTTTGCAGAATGGATTCACCACAAAGCCGTGGATCTGTGATTTTTTTGTGCAAGCTGTGGCCGTGGACATGTTATGTGATTTGATGGTGTGTTTCAGCAGAGGTCATTTAGGGGGAATTCGTGGGGGATCGCAGTTCCCCTGGGTGAGGTACGGGGGGTGGGGCACATGACGAAGCCCCGCCCCCCACTTCTGGCCACCCTGCTTCCGGCCCTCATTCAGCCAGGAGGAGGCAGGAGAAGAGGGAGGGTAAGTTGCTTCCTCCCTGCCTCTCCCCACCCCTGCCTGCATGGGGCCAGGGAGGGCCTTCGCGGGGCTTCCTTGCACTCCCGCCGGCCTTGGAGGTCCACCACCGGGCCCCTCATGGGGCTCGGCAGTGGAACTGCAAGGCTGGCGGCGGCAGCCGGGACCGTTGGGGGTGGGGTGTGTGCCCTTATGACACACTTCTGGTGATGTTAGGGGGTGTGGCCTTATGACACACTTCCGGTGAAGTCAGGGGGTGTGGCATATGCTAATGAGTTATGCTAATGAGTTCCCCTAGCTCTTTTTCTATGAAACGACCCCTGTGTTTCAGGTTACTCAATTGAAAAACCTTGAGGATCCACGAGGATCCATGCTTTGGAACCATGTTTTTGCAGTTTTGTGGTGCCACAAATTCCTGGGGGCATGATTTTTGGAGTGCTGCCTATAGTCTAAGACATGGTATGATGTTGGTTTTATTTCATTTCAGCATAACCCCAGTAGTCTTTGTCTTCTTGATGTTCACCTGCAATCCTGCTTTGGTACTTTCTGCTCTAACCTTCACCAGTAATTGTTTCAAGTCTTCACTATTTTCTGCCAGTAACATAGTATCTTCTGCATATCTCAAATTGTTAATGTTCCTCCCACCAATTTTCACTTTGCCTTCATCTAACTCTAATACAGCTTTCCTTATGATATGTTCTGCATACAGATTGAAGAGACAGGGAGATAAAATACATCCTTGTCTGACACCCTGGCCAATTAGAAACCTTCTGTTTCTCCATATTCTGTCCTAACAGTAGCTTTTTGTCCAGAGTACAGGTTGCACATCAAAACAATCAGATGTTGTGGTGCACCCATTTCTTTTAAAACCAACCATAGCTTTCCATAATCTACAAAATCAAAATGTTTTCTGTAATTGATGAGAAACAAGCTGATTCTTTTCTGTAATCTATGAAAAACAAGCTTTTCCCCTGAAATTCTCTTTTATGCTCCGGTAACCAATGTAAATTTGCAATATGATCTCTAGTGCCTCTTCTTTTTCTGAATCCAGCTTAAACATCTGGCATTTTTGCACAATATATGATAACAGTCTTTGTTATAAGATTTTGAACATCAATTTTGACAAATTAATGTGATAGTTGCTGCAGTTTTTGATATCTCCTTTTTTCAGAACTGGAATGTAGATTTAGTGTTTCCAGTCTGTGGGCCATTGTTTTGTTTCCCATATTTGTTAACATATTTGTGTTAAGATTTTGATGGACTCCATTTCTGTGGCATGGAGCAGCTCTGTTAATGTCCTGGTGATATGTTTTTCCCAATTGCTCTCAGTGCAGCTTTCATTTCACTTTCTGAAACTGTAGGTTCTTTTTCAAAAATTTCATCTTGGAAAGAATCTGTCCTCCTCTCAACTTTCCCGTCTAGTTCTTCAGTGTATTGTTCCCATCTTTTCTTTAGTTTATCTTGTTTAGTTTATGTATTTCCATTTTGATCTTTCAACATGCCTAACCATGCTTTAAATTTCCCTTTGATTTCTTGGATCTTGTGAAATATATCTCTTGTTCTTCCTTTTTTGTTGTTCTATTCCTTTACACTGATTATTATAATAGTTGTCTTTGCCTATACATGTGAGTCGCTGGAGCACTGTGTTTAGTCTTTTAATTCTGTTTCTGTCACCTGTTACTTTTGCTTCTCAACTAGCTTTAGCAATTTTAAGAATTTCCTCAGTCATCCATTGAGGCTTTTCATTTCTTTTGATACAGGAATAGTCTTTGCACATTCTTCCTTGATATCTATGGTTTCAACTCATAGTTCTTCTGGTTCATGTTCACCTGAATTTAGTAACGCAAAGCTGTTCTTTACGTGGTCTTTAAACTCCTCAGGGATGTTTAGATTATATTTTGGCATTATGAATATTTTAGTGTTTTTATTCAGCTTTATTCTAATTTTTGATAATAACAAATCATGGCATGTACCGCAATATGCTCCTGGTCTTATTCTGGCAGAGAGAACAGAGTTTCTCCATCTTCTGATTCTGATTATGTAATCTATCTGATTTCTATATTGGGTATCTAGTGATGTCCATGTATACAGTCATCTCTTTGATTCCCTGAAATATGTGTTCACAATGAACAAATGGTTGTCTTCACAGAATTCTATGGTTGCTCTCCTACTTCATTTCATGTTCCTAGCCCAAATCTTCCAACAATATTTGATTCTGCTTTGTTTCCAACTTATGTGTTCCTGTCACCTATGATTATTAGCATATCTTGTTGAGGTGTGTGATCAATTTCTTCCTGGATACTTGCA